GCGTCTCTGTAACTTCGCAGACATACTCACCTTCAAGTGCCGAATCTCCCAATTCACATGCCACTTCTTCATGTTCGCAAATCTCCACGTTTTGATGCTTTCACCGTTATCCATATTCATCTTTACAAGACGATTGATAGCAACACCTGCAAAAGCAAAGTGTAGACTAAGTAAAGTGAAGATATTTGGTCTGGGATTTCGTGCATTTATGGATTCAAGCGTACCAATCAAATCCGCTTTTCGGCCATTTCGGAAACGGACGATGAAATAGTGCATTCCATGTTCCTGGCAAAGCTTGCCAGGCGCGAATATATTGCAGTTTCGCTTCGGTGGACGACAATTGTCGTACGTTCGCATGTGCGTCAGCAACCCGTTGCTGCAGCTGAAAAAAAGCCAGAAGAATAATTAGCACTACTTCGAAATAATTTTCGGAAACTGCTGGAAAAACCGCAAATACCAACCGATTGTTTACTCCTCGCTTTCCGTACATATCTTTGTGAGACATAGTCGTCAACGTTAAAGTCGCTCGGGAGCTTTACTGGTGTCGATCGTCGCGCCGTACTGCTCTCATTTCGCCCGTTGGCTGCAAAGGTCATTAAATGATGGAAAGACAACGGAACAAATGGCACTTGCAGTTCTTACAAAAAATGGAAACGGAACATAAAATCGGCGTACTGCTTCTTTAACAAGGACGAGAAGACGTAAATCTAAATGTTCGAAAATAGCTTACTTGCACTTTGCATGTGTAGCAGGTTCTTTATACTTTCAACTTCTTGCGGGTATGAGGAATCAGCCATAGATTTTCCACGTGATGCCAAACGGCAAGCTGCCATCCATCGTGCATACTGGTGTTCCTTTAAATGAATGAATCTATTTATACGATATGATACCGAAAAGATTTTAATTAACTCCCAACAGAACAATGAACCAACCGTATCACACTTCAGCACAAAATCTGTCATCCCCTCAGCCGTGGGAACAAGTAGCTTTATTTGGATATTTTCCCTGAGATACAGAGACATCCGGACTGACTTCGCAACCTGTTGTTACGCAGCAATTAATTTCAAACGTTACGATGGATATAGATATCGTAGTAGCCAAAATTACCTTTGAGGGAGAAGTGACCAAGAGGAGCTTGATGAACATCGTTCGAACTTTGGTAGTAGCTGAGATACAGATCACGGAATGAAAAGAATGCTCGCTTGAATCCTTTGAAGGCAGCGATTTTCTTCGGTCTGGAAGGACAAGATACTTCATAGTCATTACAGAACTACAACCTACATATACCAAAAAATGTACGACTAAAAACTAACTTCATGTATTTAAGATAGTCCGCAAGTTCTGGCACCTGCATGAGGTCAGAGCGGCGGCCAAGAGCAGCAGCGTCGAGGTTTTGTTCCTACAAGAAGTGAGGAATATTTCCAAAGCGGATCACTTACTGTAGCAATGAATGTTGCATGATTTACGTACCAACTCATCCAGCATCATATCAACGTCATCCTTCACAGGTCCTTCAGGTTCAGGCGAATCTCTTTGAAGACTTGCTTGCAACTAAAACACATGTTATAAGCAGAAAGGAATTAGTTAGATTGGATAAAAGCAATAAATTCAGAAAAATATTGAGGGGAAAGAGAGAGGGGAGAGAACAAAGAATTCTAGAAAATAAAATTGCACAAAAATTCACCCCCTCAACTCCTAACCAGAACCATTGTCTTTTTCGGACCCTATTAGTGCAGATATATGATCAAGCCTCGAGAAAAAAACTTGCTGCTATTGAGGATATTAGCGTCACCAGTCAGTACAAGAAAATTATCCCATAACAAATTCCAATGATAGCAGATGATGCTTCCCTAATGGGATCGGCCTTCACTGACAAAATAAAATTTGATGGACATCAACAGAGATCGCGATATCACGTTTCATAATACACGTCGAATGCACCTCTTCGGCCCTAACCAATACAAAGGGATAGCTCTTGACCGTAGGAAGGACTTCAACAGGAAAAAGGCGGCTGAAGTCTCGTATCCAGACGTGTGAAACTTTCAAACTATTGAGCTCGGGAGAAGCTGAAAGTTGACACTTCTGGCAAACAAGCAAGCAGGCATTAATTTGATTACAAGCACTACCACAAACAACAACTCTAAGCAATATGTAGCGCAAAAGATTGCACACTGAAAACGAGGCCTGCCAGAAAAATAAAATATCCATTGAATTTCATCAAGTTCCACTCAAATACAAAAGTTCTCAGTATTCTATGCTTGTGAAAACATATTTCTACCTGCAGCGAAGCGAACAGCGTTGCTTCCTCCTCGGTGTGGTCAAATTCGTCTAGCAATATGGACCATTTGGCTTGCTCGTATAGTTGATTGATGCGAACAGGATCGTACTTGAAACAAGAATATGTACATTCAGGAAAAAAGTAATTCGTTGAAATGACCGAAAATGTTGCTCGGTGGTGACTGTAAGCAACTGAAACTCTATATCTACCTTTGGATTGAGGTCAAAGAAGGTCATGAATTTGAAGCGCAACAGCACGATATCACCCTCAAAAACACCTTGCTCCATTAAAGACCTGAAAACGTAAGAGAATATCACATGGCTAAAAATGCGTCGATCTTCAGCCATTATCACCTGCTTGAGTCGAGCCATCCTCTATTCAATGCGGCTTTTTCAACATAATTTTGCGGACGGAAAACGAGCGTATCACGATTCGCAGCCTGGCTAGGAGTATGCACAAGAGCCATATCGAACTGTTCATTTTCAAGACCTAAACATAAGTAAATTAATGTAATTATAACAACAGCAAAGTAGCATTCTCAACCTTTTCAGCCTTACCTTCGCAGAAACTGATGCTGGGCATGATTGGAACACGGCTCATGGTTACATTGTACTAAACGAGTATGTGGTGCTGGCAAAACTCTGGAGATTTGATTGGTTTTCACAGAATCAGAAAAGTTAACATACAGCGCCTGGACTTGGACTCGCTCCCCGAGGAAGAGTGCCATGTCTTGGTAGAGTGCCCATTTCATGAGCATTGAAAATGTGCCCACTCGTAGACAAGGCTGGTGATTGTCCGCGGCGCATGCGTCCATCAATTTGTGTTTGAGAGGCGAAGATTGGAGTGGCCTTTCGAAGCGTCATTGGACCGACAGACTCCTAGAAATTCTCTATGAAGATTCGACAAAGAAGTTTTCCAACCAGCGCGTAGATTAACAGGAAATGGCTTTTTTTGCAACACCAAGCTTGAAAGACTTATAGAGTCACCTCTCCAGGACGTATGGTTGTGGGCCTGATGAGTTTTTCAGCTTCGTAAGTTCCTTTGCGGAGGATGTCAGGCGGAATCAGTCTTGAAAATTGCACCATCTCCAACTTCCAACCAGAAATGTGATTAGGTACAAAAAGCAGTACCTTTTCAGTCCTAATTCTTCAGAATGCCTGATTCCCAAGTCACGGCAAAGCTTTTGCGTTGCCTTGAAGGCGTTAACAGAGAAATCCAGTCGAGCTTCTATGATCTGGTTGTCAGGGAGTTGGACTCTACAAAATGATGAACCGTTCTGAGATTTAGCCCAAGCAGAGATCACTTGCAACCCACCTAGCATCCTTATGCATTGGCGTGAATTCCAGTTTTGTATCAGCTGTTACACCACCACATGACCAGGGTGGATCCGAGTATGTTGAAAGGCCAACGACGCCTTCTCTGGCCACAACCACGCAATGGTCGACGCAAAATCTTCTTGTAACATCTACAATAAATTTCATCAATCAGCAGTTGCAATGCACCCAGTGAAATTTACACTTCTGAAAATCGATCACTCCTACATTCAAACTACACCTTCGGAGATATTATGAATAACAATTGCAACAAACATTTCTAGCATGGAACAAGCACAAGCATAGCATTACAAAAAGGGAAATATTACGCGGAGTCCGCTCCTCCCAAGTGGAACATGCATTTACAGACCTTCTCTAGCGATCGCGGCAGCCGCTAAAATGCCTTACTTCCAACCGGATGCTCATTGTGCGCAAACCCTTCATAAAAATAACAAATGGCGAGATCTTGGCAACAAGGTTAACTGGTAAGAGAAGAAGGAACTATCTTGAGCAACGGCACTCGTTCGACCGCTATTATTACAAAAATTCTTTTTTTCTAAAAAAGTTCATAGGTAACATTTAGCCCTAAAATCAGCAGATGGTAGAACTCATTCTCGCGTTATTACGCGGGCTTTACCACTATTCAACGAGGGTGGATGTAGTGCTGCCTCAAATCTCCATGGTAAACATTTCAAACACCTAAGAAATTCAAAACCACCCGAAAAGCCACCGGTCAACCTCATCAGGCGTAAGTTTCACTACTTGTAAGCAGAGTACAACTATTGTCTGCCACAATATAACACATAAGGAGAGTGGCACTGGACTCAATGACCAGGACACCAAATATCCTGCAATAGCTTCGATAGGATGTCGTTCACCCTACGCGTGACGCACACGTCGTCGAGCTCTCAACACTCTAATACGCTTCCATTAAGGGGTGTCACCGATGTAGATAGAGACACTATCCTTCTCTATACCTAGTAAAATATTATTTGAGGGACGTGTACGCCACATCTGAACGCTCTCTTGCTAGCCACAACACATATCCCAAAAAATGCGTCAAGTGAGTGCTTGCCTTCTTTGAGGAACTCAACTACCTAAGAGCGTCTAGTCTCGTTCTCTAGGAAAATCACACCACACCATTGTACAAGGGCTTAAATGACGCTCTATCATGGCTGGCCAGCAGTGAACCCACTCCAGAAAAATCTATCTCGAGAATAACAAGGCTTTGCGCAGTGCAGCCCTTCATTCTGCTCGTCATCCATGCGAAGATCAACCTCTAACGCGAGTGATTTTCTTCTTTTAACATTGCATATATGAGGATCATATTATAACAATCGAAGCGAACTAGGCATCCCGACATAATATCAGCAGCATTTGTAAGTAGCAGCCGTCAATATCGTAACCAGCAGTTACAGCGAGCGCCATGCCGAGCGCATTGTCACATGCAGAGATTTCTTACCCTCTCCTAGCGTACATCCCCGTCGAACTATGAGACTGCCCACCTACATTAGCAATGGAATGACCTTGGTCATAAAACTCCTACTTCATTTGCATATGCACGATCCGGTATATATAGAGTCACATAGGTAAGTGCACAGCCAACAGTTCAACATCATCGAGCTATGGAAGTGAAAGCGAGAAGTCTGCTGCAGCTGTTTCCTTTCCGCGCAGATTCCTATTCGATCATCTTGCGGCTCCCTGGCATGAGTTGTTAGACGCACGAAGGACCTATCAGCGAGACAGATTCTTCCGCTGACGTATTGAGAAGAAGAAAGCGGAGTACGTATGCTCACTATGTCGTGGCGAGTAAGAGCAAACCACAGGCAATCAAAGTCGTCTAGTGGCATGTCAGATGTTTTCGCTAAAACAAATGAGATACGAGAAGCCCACTATCGACTTTAAAGAAATCAACAAGCATAGGAGAAGTCAAAAATAGAAGCCGGCAGAGCACAAAGGAAGGAGTAATCTTATACTTGTACGCAACCTAAATGAAACCACCCGAACAGTAGCTCTGTTAGCGAGGCGTCCTTCGACAATTTATTCTCTAACCATCATACTCGCTGATCAAATATAGTGTCGAACGTTTAATATTCGCCCGGATTATATATGAAGTACCAGTAATTGTCCGAGGACTGAAGAAAGAAACCTTCCAAGGACGTGGACGCGATCATATGCAAATTTTCACTTTACTTTAATTTTTCTATTTATTACTCTAATTTCTAATTCCAACTTCAAGCACCCTCCTTAATCAGTACATTGATCGCACTCTGCCAGTTCTGAATTCCTTTGCATAGCGAGACAGGAGGAAATGATGATTATACTAGCAAGCTTCATTTCTGAGGTACAACATTTCAATTCGGAGATATTCTTGCACGACACCACCTCACTCGAGGATTACTTCCGTATTCTTTATTCCAAATAAGGTACATGTGCAAGAAAAAGAGTGAATCCGAGAATTCCAACAGCTACTGGAAATCAATGGTGAACGGAGAAAGAAGTCACGATGCAGAACGTTGTTTAGATTCTCTCGTTGTCTGCGTCTGACAGGGAATTGGCAGAGAGGCAGAGGAGCGGCCATTGGAGGTCTCCGGCTGCTGGCTGTGGTGGCCGTGGACATCGCACACCACACAACAACCGCCCACAGTGTAAATGCACCCCACGCGGGTTTCCACGCCTCTTGCTTACGCTATCCGATGCTGCTCACCGCTCTAGGCGTAGAAATCTCACTTCTGAACCAGTTTTTGCTTTCGTTCTCTGATCGTTCAATGTGAAAATCGCCTTGACGTCATCTGATCGATTCGGTGTTCCAGGCGGCGTCGTTTGTGTATGATAGTTTAGTCAGTTGAAATGGCTCATCTGGTCGTGGACGGCCTTGCTGCCAGCGATGGCTCGTGGTCTTTACCAATTCTCGTCACGGACATGAATATCCAAAGGTATGTCCTTTTTAGTGGTTTCGATAAGCCCTGTGAACAGCCAACTTCAGAAATCTCTATGTTCGCGGCGATCTTCACATTGGTGGCCTTATGATGCGTCTAGTTGATGAAATCGGTAAGTCTTAACTTTTGATAGCTTTTTAGTCATTGGAATTTGTTGGTTTTCCGTGCCTCTGTTTCTTCTTTGCTGACTATCACTTCCTTTTCTTACATCTTATTTCCGTACCAACCTTGGCGCAATGGGCCTCTGGGGGAGGAGCAGTCTGTAGAAAAGCCTTCAAGACTGAATACGGGGAGGGACGAACACCTGAGAGGATGGAAATTGCGTACGGCCCCAGAATCCCTCTGCCATTCTAAGGCTTAGTCCTAAAAGTGCGTTTCCGTTACCACCGACACAATATTGTGGGCCTACCTCGACCTCCATGGCTACATTGCGCCCCGTATTTTTATTTCTTTCCCATCGGGGCATACATTACTATACAGTCTCAGGTGTTGGGTAGAGTGTCGGTACTCGTAAATTGCGGTGTCTGTTCGATGAAAGATGACCTTGGCTGCGCAGACGTCTTTGGTGTTCCTCTCTTATCCTGAATGATACACTATGAATGATTATCTTGCGATTGTTATGAATTTTTTCGCCTGTTTAATTCTTCTCTATACACTAGTTTTGCCATTAGTTTTCCTCTTTTATCTACAAATTCCTTTTCTACTTTATTTTTACGTCAAGTCGAAGGCTGTCACATTCTACCTGTTCACGATGGAAGCCTACCTTCAGCCTGGAGTCTTATATTGATTGAACGAGTCTGCTATACATATTAGCGGAGCAGACTATTTGCTCATGGTGTTATACCCCATCGGATGTCCACTCAACGGGCTTATGTCCACCGCTGTCGCTATCAGAGCCACGAAAAAACGGACTGAGCCTGGGGGATGAACTTCGGGGAAAAGGGGAGCTCAACTAAGGCCTAGTCTTAGAGGGGGGACTAGAAGTCGCAATGATTGGTGTGATGGGCGTTCCACATAGCGCTGCTCCCCCTTCCTCTTCTACACCAACGCCCCAAAATGTACCAGTTTGTATCGCTCGAAGTTGCCACGTTGGCACTCCAAGTCTTGATTCATTCTTCGCGTTTTATCATTGATTGATCTTGGCTCGAGGCGGAACCGCCTACGCTGTTTAGCTTTCTATTACACTCCGACTCTCAGAAGAACAACTATAGATTCCCAGCTGCCTATGTTCTGAACATCATTCGGAGAATATGTGACACTTTTTCACACAACATACCAGTTGAAAGGATCAGGCTATCCTCGCATTTTCATGAATACCTAAAGGGATGTAATTTCTTTACAACTGAGCTGGGAATAGATATTTTCACGGGCCGTCTTGAACCAAGTGGATATTAGAGAACGTGACAGTTGATAGGTAAGGGTCTCTTTTTTCGATAGGTTTATTGACTAATGAAAAAAGAAGTGCTAAAAAATACAAAAAAAGCTTTATGACGTTTCATAGCAGTCTTAGAAGTGTGTATTCAGTTATAATCATTGATTATGATCAGGCTGCTTACGTCAGCTGTCAATAACCCCTGGCTAGGAGTACTTAGTGAACGCTATTCTCTGGATGCAGGTGTAAACCAACGCTTATTTTCTTATCGTCCCGAAATTTGGATTTTGTGGATCCTCAAAGTATTATTAGGGACAGATTTACATACAGAGCAAAGCATGCACTTTGTACAACATTCTATGCTTGGTTAGAAAAGCGATAATGATATCAGTAGAGCAACGAACTTTGATGTGCCGATCAGGTGTTACATCGATAGGTTCTGAAAAGATAATGAGCATGTATGGGTAGCAAATGCTGATTCTCCGAATTTTGACAGTGCTAATATTATGTCAACTTTATATATTTAGTTGTAAGTCTAATGACTTTTGCACGGGAGCCGTTTTAAGCCTCTTCTTTTCGGCAGATGGTTTGTGATTAACTGATAGAGACAGCCTCAATGCAGTGGGTCATTTCGTGCACAATTCAAAGCTTTTCTTTTGTTTTGGTTGCATAGCCAAGTCACATTCTTTTATGGATCATCTACTTCTCATTTGTATTCATCGAGGATGCTTCACAGACGGGTGCTAAGGTCCCTTATAAGGTGAGAAGATCGCGAGAACGTGGTGTTCCTCATGGTGACGCGAAGAACGTTCAGCGAAATACGCGGGGGAGTATGATGGAAAAAATAGACTTTTCGAAGGAGAGATTTGCGTCAGATGAAGTACTCCTTCCTTTGTTGAAGAGCAGTTTGACACCTTCCTTCTTTTGCAAGTGCTTAGCGAAAGTTGGCTCGTCAATGAACATGAAACCACATAAGATTTGATTGCCTTTTACCGCGAGACAATGTCAAGATCTTCTATGCGCGCAGCGCAGGCATTGTTCCATTGCAGAGCAAACAATAAAACGCAACACTACGACTTCTGCTTCCCATAGCCATATTTCGTGCCAGTATGCACTAATGTTCGACGAAGCATCATAGAGAGGCTCATCATCCCATTACTAATGTATGCATGTGACAAGCCGCAGTCGGCTGCTCGTGTAACTGCGTTACGAGAGGCTGCACTCAATGCTGCTGTAATGAGCAGTCGTTACTAATATCATTCCATAGAAGTAAAAAGAAACCGGTTAGAGGTATTGATGATAAGGCAAATAATGTTGCCCAAGCTTCATCCTAGAAATTTTATTGGAATAGCTTTCATGACAGGCATACCTGGTGGTGAATTTTCGGCGCTACGCAAGATACAGGACTTTGTGTTTGCAATGCAAAAATCGTCGAAGACATCTTTCTGTTGGAAAGGGGGCTAAGACTCAGGCGGAGAAGGAGTGAGTCCAGGGTGCTTGAGTAATTTTCATTTCCGAAGTCCTGCCCCTTCTAAGCTTAATCCCCGAGAATGCCCTCGTATATTACGATAGCGCCAAATTTTTTATTTGGCTAGAATTGTTTTATACATGGTGACACCCTAATGGAAGCTGATGCTAGCTGGAGGCCTAGGGTGGACTAGTCGCTGCCACTTTTAGTAAAATTCCAAATAGAAGTTGTTCAGAGAAATAGCCCAGTGCGGGAATTTGAATGTTCCAAGGTTACGCATGGGCGAATAACGGGGCAATTTGGTGTAATAATAGCGGCGTGCTCATAGTTCTTTCCATAATTGGCCGTCGGCAGCATGGGAAGCATTTAGCGCGCAATCACTAGAAAAGGTCGTAAATCATGGTTCCACTTGGGATAACGACCGCGTATTTCCCTTGTAATGTATGCTAGTGCTTGTTCCATGCTAGAAATTCTTGTTGAAATTGTTATTCAAAATATCTTCGAAGGTGTAGTTTTAATGTAGGAGTGATCGATTTTCAGAAGTGAAAATTTCACTGGGTGCATTGCAACTGCTGATTGATGAAATTTGTTGTAGATGTTACAAGAGATTGGTCCGACCATGCGTTGTGGTGGCCAGAGAAGCGTCGTTGGCTTCAACATACTCGATCCACCCTGGATCAATGTGGTGTAACAGCTGATACAAAACTGGAATTCACGCCAATGCATAAGGATGCTAGGTGGGTTGCAAGTGATCTCTGCTTGAGCTAAATCTCAGAACGGTTTATCATTTTGTAGAGTCCAACTTCCTGACAACCAGATCATAGAAGCTCGACTGGATTTCTCTGTTAACGCCTTCAAGGCAACGCAAAAGCTTTGCCGTGACTTGGGAATCAGGCATTCTGAAGAATTAGGACTGAAAAGGTACTGCTTTTTGTACCTAATCACATTTCTGGTTGGAAGTTGGAGATGTGCAATTTTCAGACTGATTCCGCCTGACATCCTCCGCAAAGGAACTTACGAAGCTGAAAACTCATCAGGCCCACAACCTATACGTCCTGGAGAGGTGACTTATAAGTCTTTCTCGCTTGATGTTGGAAATCCACCCGGCAGTGTTGGAAAACTTCTTTGTCGAATCTTCATAGAGAATTTCTAGGAGTCTGTCGGTCCAATGACGCTTCGAAAGGCCACTCCAATCTTCGCCTCTCAAACACAAATTGATGGACGCATGCGCCGCGGACAATCACCAGCCTTGTCAGATGGGCCAATTTTTGCAATGCTATGAAATGGGCACTCTACAAGAATGGCTCTTGCTCGGGGCAGCGAGCTCCAAGTCCAGGCGCTGTCTCGTTTGCTGTTTCTAGATGCTCTGGAACCAATTCACGTCTCCAGAGTTTTGCCAGACTCACTATTTCGTTTAGTACAATGTAACCATGAGCCGTGTTCCAATCATGCCCAGCATCAGTTTCTGCGAAGGTAAGGCTGACAAGCTTAAGGGGGCTACTTTACTATTGCAATAATTTCACTTAATTGTATATGTTTAGGTCTTGAAAATGAACAGTTCGATATGAGCTACTTGTGTCTCTAGCCGGCCTCGCGGAAGTCGTTGATACTGCCGTTTCCGTCCGCAAAATTATGTTGAAAAAGCTGCATTGAATAGAGGATGGCTCGACTCAAGCAGGTGATAATAGCTGTAGGTCGACGCATTTTTTTAGCATGTGATATTCTTTTACGTTTTCAGGTCTTTAATGGAGCAAGGTGTTTTTGAGGGGTGATATCGTGCTGTTGCGCTTCATTCATGACTTCGTTTGAACCTCATCCAAGCGTAGATATAGGTAGTCAGTTGCTTACAGTCACCAGCGAGCAACATTTTCGGTCATTTCAACGAATTACTTTTTTCCTGAATGTACATATTCTTGTTTCAAGTACGATCCTGTTCGCATCAATCAACTATACGAGCAAGCCAAATGGTCCATATTGCTAGACGAATTTGACCACACCGAGGAGGAAGCAACGCTGTTCGCTTCGCTGCAGGTAGAAATATGTTTTCACAAGCATAGAATACTGAGAACTTTTGTATTTGAGTGGAACTTGATGAAATTCAATGGATATTCAATTTTTCTGCTGTTACTTTCGTTTTCTTTTGCAATAACTTTTGCGCCTCTGCTTTTTTAAGTTTATTCTTGTAGTAGATGTTTACAAGTGAGAATAAGGGCGTTTCCTTGTTAGAATGAATGTTCATACATTCTGCTTCTTTCGAGCTCAATTGCTCAAAATTTCTCACATCGTTTGGACAGTAGACTTCAACTGACTTTTCTCCTTCAAGAAAGCCCTATCTCGCGGTCTCCCTCGGCTATCTTTCTAGATTGGCTAGGGTTGTAGGGACTGTGTTTTGTTTGTATTATAAAGTTGCAATATTCCGATATCCGTTGGCATCCATTAGGTTTTATTTTGTCAGTGACAGCCGGGCCCATTAGAGCATCATCATCCGCTGTTATCGGTCCTGTTTGGGTGACTAACTTTTGTACTTGAATCGTGATACAATATCCTCTAGTAGGAGGCATTTCTTTACTTGAGGCTGATCCAATGATAAGGCTCCACGAGGGCCCTAATATGGGTCAGAGATAAAAACAAGTTCTCTAGTAGAGTTGGTGAATTCGCGCCACCATTTTCACGAATTCATTTTTTGTTCTCTCACCTCCCATCCTCAATATTTTTTTCTAATTTCAGTGCTTTTATCCACTCTAACTATTAGGTTGGAAAGAAAGTCCTGCAACACTTTTTCAATTTTTGATTTTAATTTTATCTTTTTTGTTTACAACTCCTGACCGGTCTTATATCTACCATGAGTGTCCACCACTTGTCTTCAACGCTCAGAAAATTTCTTGATGCTCCTTTGCCAAAACCCAGCGGAGTGCGGGTCGAGAAAGGAGGCGACCTCACTTTCGAGTTGGAGTTGATCGTCTAATTATTTCGTTATCAAGATGATGATTAAGGTCCAGGATAGGTGGCAGTCATTTATAGCTCGACCAGGGGAATACGCTAAGAGAGGTAAGAAATCTTGCCGCAGCTCCAGAATTTCTTACCGGGCTCATTTCGGATCATGGTGATTCGCAATGTCATGAAAGAAATGAATATTGTCGCGGTACGAGGGCTCTTGACGAGCTGCCTCGGCCAGCTTCTGGTATTCCGCAGCCTAGGCCTCTACCTACACAATGGTGCCCATAACGAAGAATATGTAGTGGAGCTTCTGTAAGAGCCCTACGCTGCTGGCTTCTTATAAAAATATCAAAAGATCGGAAGCGCTGGTAAAGGTGAAACACGCTGTAGCGGTGAACGACATGCCTATTGAAGCTATTGCAGATAGTGTTGGTCTTTGACACGAATCCATAGTTATGGAGACATTTGTACTAGACAGTGACTCGGAGTGTGGATTTACTAGTGGTCGAGGTTTTTTGAATTTTCTTGGATAACTACTGACTGCAGCACTTATATCCACCTCGTGGATTAAAGCCTCGAGAATGCTCTACCATTTGTACTC